CGCGGGCAATACAAATTCTATTCGAAGTGTATGCAAAATTCCGCACACTTCAACGGCAAGAAAGAGCCATATATTAGCTAATTGCACAATATTTAATGCTGAGGAATTACCCGCGGCTAGCAAAACTCACTGATAATGAAAAATTGCATATTGATTTGGCATTAAAATCGACAAATATGCGATTTTACGCCGCAGGGCTTATATGAATGTGCGCCGTGAGTAACTCAAACTCAAGACAATTTGAAGTGTGGCAGACCGTCGAAAATCAGCACACTTATGATTTAGAAACTCAGATACTTTTAATCAGTGTCAATAGGCAAATTGTGGACGCTGCTGTTATATATAATATCGATCTTGCTTCCACGTAGCGGCTCGTCCGCTCACCCGCTAACCCAAAAACATGCAAATCTATGTTCGGCTCGTTCTAATGGATTGCATAAACAAACTTTTTGCTTTGAGTGTTTGCATTAAAAATTACAATAAATTTGTTTTCTATTTACTAAAATTTATTTTATATTAGAAAATGATAAGAAAAAATTATTTTATTGCTTTTTAGGTCAGTTGAGAAGTGAAGTCAATGTGCTTCACGGACTTCTGATTTTTTTCCATTACATTAACATGTTTTGCTCTTAAGATTTTTAGGTTGGACCATTTAAGTATCTCATTTATTATTTTGGCACAATCCAACAATCCATATTCATATGTAGATAGGTCTACTTCCATTGTTATTGCTTAATGGACTACTGTAAAGTTACTTATATAATTAAAAGCCAGTAGCCATGATCTGCTAAAAATATAAAAAAAACCTGAGAAAGAACAATACGAAATTAATGGAGAAGTGTTGATTAATTTCTAGTGGTATTTCGTGGGTGTGATTTCGCCATTGCTTCAAGAAATGATTCATACATACAAATATCATTTTTTCTTCTAGTTTTGAGAATTTAATTTGCAGAGAAGGTATAAAAGGTTGGCAAATAGACGTAGATGACGAATAGGAACAGCCAACTCATTAGTATACCATTCACGGGTATATTAACTTAGCTACTCAAGTTAAGTTTGTTTCTTCTTTAAATTATTTTTAATTAAATTAATACAAAACACAAAGTATACGTTTCCAGCTTAAAGTCTTGTATTCATTTTCGAGAAATATAATTTCATTGCTATATGATTTGATTTATATGGAAAATCATAAGTTACTTGTACTTTCTGCGAGTTTTTTCTTTCCAACCAGCATTAGATAATACATATATTGAAGTTGTTGAAAAATTCTTGCAGTGAATGTTTTAGTCATTGAAATTGAAGTTCCATCAAAAGTTACAGAATTATTTCAATTTTAAAACTATTCAATATGGGACAACAAATGATTCCCAAAGCCAGTCTTATATATGTAGTTACCTTTTCTTAATATATATAAAGTAGGGAACTTACTGTGCGACTAAAGCATATATAATAATAATTATAATTATCCTCTGTATAATCATAATCAATACTACTATTATTCCGTCAATTAGGGATCAAGTGGTTCCTCACATATGTGCAAATATTCTGTGACCTTAGTTATGTGACTGTCTCAATATCACTAAGCGCTTTTGAGCAGCCATTGACTTCTGACATTCAGGTGATCTTATTTAAACAATACTTGGTAATTTTCTACCACTTTCCCGTTGTTTTAACTGATTTTAATTAAGCTCTGCAATATACTTTGTTAGCTCAAATTTTCTGTGAATAGTAACGGACTTACTCCTAAGTAACAAAAAGTATGCGCTATTCCCTTCCCACTGCAAAATTCTTACATACTTTTTCCCAATATAATTAATTTTACCATATCGTCGTTTTAGATTTTATTTAATAAATTAATAATTATTTCAATTGGTTTTTGAGATAATTGCAATTGCTTTTCTCTGCTTTTCTCTATTAATGATAAATTTCTCATTAAATGTACTTTATTACTTTTTAATACTTTGGAAATGCCTACAAAAAGGAAGCATGAAACCTAAGCATCAAAAATGGTATTTTCTTTTAAATTTCATTTTTTGTTTTTTTTTTTTTTGATTCTGAGATAAAAATCAAATTTCTCAATAAACACTTTCCAAAACTGTTGCAGTTGTTAGTTTCCTGGCCGGCATAGCTTACGTATGGAGTTATAGTGCCACATTTGGCTGCAGCAGCGTTTCAAAGGTTTAGCCAGCTGCAGCGCTGCAGCGCTGCTCCGCTGGACAAACATGCTCCACGTGAAATCTATGGAATTAACATTTTTTGCGTTTCCTCTACAGCTTTTGCCACGCAACTCAACTGCATTTAGGCATCGCCATTACCTACATTCCGATCAATTATCTTGCAGTCAAACACTTTTTTAACTTCTCCCAACCACAGACAAAACTATTCGTAATCATGCGAAACGTTCAAATCTTATAAATCTTTCATATAAATAATTGCCGATACGGAAGACGCAATACGGAGAGAGAACGGCAGTTAATTGTATGCGGGTTGCGGCAGTCTCAATTGATGCTGCGGTTGGAGAGCAACGGTATATTCGCACTTTATTAATATTTAATGTATCTTTAATATACATTTACTGCTTGAACACCACTCGTACGAGTATGTATTAAAAAGCGATCATAAATATATTTTATTTATTCGTTCCTGCAAACACCTTTCAGCGTTTTACACTTGCTTTGCGCTTGAAGATCCATAACAAAAGCAGGTATGATTGCAGCAACCTGCTCTTTTCTATTTTTCTGTTGGCTTATATTCCTGACTAGTGTTCATTTTGATAGACGTGTGCTTTGAGTGATGCGAAGAAAAATTTTATGGATTTGTCCTAGATGTAGGGCTTAAGCGAATAAAGCCAGTGTATTCCACTGCGCACTGTACGTCGACTGTGGCAGGTAGTTTCCTGCTTCTAAACCGAACCATAGCCAGAAAAGTGTGCTTTTGACACTTTTATGCATCGTATTTCATGTGAATCTTTGAATCCGTTGTTTAGCTCAGTGAGCAGTGAGTTGGAAAAAGGATATTGAGTATTTAAATGCGTTTCGAATGGTTTTACAGTTAGAAACTTAACACAACGTTTAGAACAGAGAACACATACACACGTTCTCCTTTTGTGTGTATGCAGTGCAGTCCATGCGTAGCAAATTCGTTCTCACATTTGCATATAAAAAAAGCTAATTTTATGCTTTCTATGTCATATTTTGAATTTTTCCATAGACGCCAATGACTGGGGATACGTCCAATGACTGGGGATATATGTATAATGAAGGTTTACACGCCCACAACTATTCTGTGCAGATTTTAATTTTCCGCTCTTAAGTGTAAATCAATTTCTGTGCAAATAACACTTTGCCACAGCGAAACAGAAGATAAAAGCCAATATTTCAATTTAATGTTTAAAACAATGAGTTTAGATACTGAAGTATAATATTTTAAAACAATTTTAAGTAAATAAAATAATCCCACGTCGTGAAGAGGTTAAAGTTTTGACTTGACTTCGACTTCGACTCCGACTCCGACTCCAACTACGACTTTGACTCTGACTCTGACTCCGTGGCAATTTTCGCAAAGTATTTATTTTCGTTTGGTTATAAATTCCAAAACTGTTAAAGTAAACACTTCTAAGCTATACTTCTCAGTCTTAATTGGCTCTCGTTGATGCTTAAATGTGGCTTAACCGCTATGAAAATCACCGCTCAATTATGCGCAAGCTCAGCTTATTAATTATGCCAGCCTTTCGATTTAAGTGCTTTGATAAAGCAACGTGACTTCCATATGTGCACTTAAACGTATTTGAAGTTATCCTAATGAGTGAAAAGTTATGCTTTAATTGGCATAAGCCAAAATTATGTAAATAATTTCACGAAAGAATTTTTATTTTCTCTCATCGTTTTTGCTAGTATGCAGCAAAAATTGTGGAATCCCCAAATAAATAAAATCCAACAAAAAAAAAACCAAAATGAAGTTTAACCGTTTCCCACGAGCGCCTGAAGTCATTAAATTTTAATTTCGTATATTTGGGTTTGTTTTGCTTTTAAGTAAGCAATCATCCAAATTACAATGTGAAAACGGCTATAAATTTAAACATTACATTTTTAATATTATTTAGAACCCTACTGAATACTCTCAAACTGCATTATTTAAAAAACCTGAACGTCAGGTCGATCCGCTATGCAAATAACAGTGAGCCTTTTATCGAGGCGGTTCCTCTTTGCTCACACGAGTTAGGTCACAGCTCAATTCAATCTGCCAGTACTTTTTCTCATTTCAAGGTACGAAGGTACCTTGAGCGCAAATAAAGCTCAGAGTATGCTTAATCTCAAATTATGGAATATGAATAAAAAGTTTAATAGGTCACCCGTTCCAATCCATGTTATGATCAGCATAGGCTAAGTCTACTTAGCAGTCATATACCATAAAATTTGCCACAAAATTTTGTACGAATAAACTCCTCTTCGGTCTCAGTAGCTGTGTGTTCCGCACATTTTTCTTGTCAGTATAGATCGCGATAACTCGTGTTGTGTTTCTGGAATCTCCGACTCTTAAACGTGAACATTACTAAGATCATGTTCGTATAAAGTATGAGTTCGGAGGTTATAGCAAGTTTCTTAGATGTAAGGAATCTGTCGACTTTCAGCAACTGTTGTGTACTACCTTATCTTCATTATTATCAGCCAGTCCCATTAACCCTATAGAGTTAAATGAGTACACTAATTGAAATTTATGCCCTTGTACACTGTTTATTTAAAAAACTTTGGTTGTTTTTAACACAGACTTCGACTTTTTTAAATAAATCTCAATTCCTTAGTCCCTCAGTCCCTGTCGCTATATTCGATATATGTATTCAATATGTTGTATTTATCAAGTCTATATTTTCTATGTTTTTGATTGCGTTATAAATATTTCAGTAAGATTTCGTACTCTATTCTATATCCAAAATCTAAGCATTAATTAACATTATTACCCACTTATAATAATAGTCATTTTTATTTTAAATTTTCAGCATACTCTCACCGGTCACAGTGGAAAAGTAATGGCTGCCAAATATTTACAGGAACCAGTAAAAGTAGTTACTGGTAGTCATGATCGCACTTTGAAAATCTGGGATCTGCGTAGTATAGCATGCATTGAGACAAAATTCGCTGGTTCAAGTTGTAATGATCTTGTAACCACCGATAGCCTAGGCTCGACTATTATAAGCGGACATTATGATAAAAAAATACGATTTTGGGATATACGCACCGAAAAGCTAGCAGACGATATTTTGATGCCAGCAAGAATTACTTCGTTAGATTTGTCAAAAGGTAATTTTGAAGACGCATATACTTAATAGATTATATTTAACAATTTCATATTTTTGTGCGTTATAGATTTTAATTACCTCATTTGTTCCATCAGAGATGATACAATACAACTTTTCGATTTACGCAAAAATCAAGTGATTACAACATTTTCGTAAGAATTTCTTTCTATAGAGCAAGTTACTTAACATTTAAATATATATGTATCTGCTTACCAATTTTCTAGCCATGAAAACTTTAAACTAAGCTGTGATCTAGCCAGAGCCTCATTTAATAGCGGCGGTACGAAAATTGCTTGCGGTTCAGCCGATGGCTTAATTTATATATGGAATATAAGTGGACACTTGGAGGCCACACTTAAGGGTCATACGTACGTAGCTATCTTATTGAATGTTGTTTTAGACTTCAGTTGAGACTTATTAACTTTCAATATGGGTGGCATATGTTATACAAACATTTTTGCATTATTAATTTATATTTTTTGTTTCTTTTCTGCATGCTTATATCTCTCAGTTACACGCATAACAAACACACAAGCTCACACATTATCTGTCTATCTTTTTTCGTTCTTTTTTGCTTTCTCTTTCTTTCATATACAAATAACTGCTGATCATAAAAGTTCTGGTTACGGTTTTTTCCACAGTACTGCCGTGAATGCGGTCAGCTGGAGCACCAATTTCAATGCGATCGCTTCTGTCGGTAAAGGAAAGAAATGTATTATATACACGGAATCGTAGCCGAGTGTTGCAATAGCAAATTCCGAGTACATTGCATGCTGAAAGAATGAGTGCAGATATTGCTTCTAAGAAGAACTACAATGAACAAATGTTGGGAGTCGCTGCATCTAATATTTCAGTGTAGATTTTACTAAAAATAAACAGAGATAAAATTTATTTTAATTTAAAATTCTATTGCTGACATTTTAAAGTATTGCAGGATCACTCTAACAAAAAAAAAATATATATATATTTATACTTAAAAACTTGAAATGTTTTGTTTGAAATTATTTTATTGATTCTATAAGTTTTTTAATATACATATATGATTATTATTTTTATTATTATTATTATTATTACTAGTTCTTACTGTCATGAACTAACGTTAATGCAATATGTAAAGTGTATATGTCTTCTATTTGTTTTAAATATTATAACAATCTAAATTTATATATATAGAATAATATTGTTGAAATTTAAACAATTGATGAAATAATAGAGATTTTGTATATTTATTGTATTTTTTTATTATATATAAAAAAGCGACAAGCATCACATTTTATAACATCCTTTTTAAATATATTAGTATAAGCAAAATTGTTGTTTTGTAAGCCATATGAATAAGCGTTTATAGTCCAATATAATTTACACATACTATACTATATTTATAACAAATGAGTTTTAGATACAATATAACGAATACTTTATTAATAAGCTTATATAAAGAATCATACGAAAAAATATATTAATTGTGTTGTAATTACTTTGTTAAATTACAAGTGAACAGTTTTTAAATGAATTTCGCAAAATTGATATTTTATGCTTTCGTTGGCGCAGTTCGACACAAATTGCCATTACGAATATATTTGGTTGTTAGCTCTTGGCAAATAATTTGGTATGTCATTAGCTATGCTTGAAATTCAATTTTCATGTTGATTATTTAGATAATTTTTAAAAGCATCGAAAGAATCAATTAAGCATGACCACGAAAATACTTGCTGGCAACTACGATTTAATAATGTAACCTCTAAGAACTGCAAGACACACTCGTTAGCTTTTGCAAATAAAAATCAATAATAAAACCAGCCAAAACTAATTTTAGTGAAGTATTCTTTTTATAATCTATATGATTGTTTGGTTCACAATTACCTTTCTCTCTTTTTCTTGTTTTAATTATATTAGTGCTATGTCTTCCTCCTGGAACACATCAGGCTATCCTCCTGTTTAATTTAGTTTAATGTAATCACCCTATTTTTATTTTCTATTTTTTATTTTTAACCTCCAATCCGTAATTACTGCTAACTACTTACAAGTCATTTAAGAAAGAACCTAATAGAAGAAGATTAGTTAATTTTACAACCACTTTAATAATTTTCTTAATTCTAAAAGAAAATTAGTTAAGCTTTAGGTTTTTTTTTATACATTTTATACTAAAATCTAATAGAATTTTGGATTTTAGAACAGTTAAATTTAAGTAAGTAACTTTTTAATATTCGAAATTTATATACCAAAATATTATTTTATTTTTACGTTGTTTTTAATATTTTTAATTAAAAATGGGACATTAAGAATTATGAATATTAACGTCAAGAATTATATAGTAGATAGGTGGATCGATTTCCTAATCATTGTGCGCAGATATATTTTTCTAGGTCAAAGTTAATAATCCATATACATATTCATAATTATTTCCCACTCCTCATTTAGAATATAATCCCTCACCTTTGTTTGCAGTGAAAAATCGCTGAATAATTACATTTATAAATTAAACATACTCTTTCATACATACTCTTTCTAAACATAACTAACATTCTTGATAAGAGTATAAATGCATGAATTTAGTTTTCATATTAGAGCATTTTGTTGTGAATGATATGCATTTGTTATTCAATTACTAGAATAAAATTATACAAGACTAAGCTCATTTTAATCTATGTATTTTCGCGCGTAGGTAGTTAAAAATATGCATTTTCACTGCCAAAGTCATAAATATTAAAACTACAACAGTGAAATATGTGGCCAGATACTGTCCGCATGTTAATTTCTAGATTTAGGCTTAGATTTGATAGTATTATCTTCCGCCTGTGCATTCGCATTGGTTTAGCTTAGCCAGCAACAGCAAAAATATATTAGCTTCGTGATCTAAATTCGTTAACAGATTAAACCTACTTAACTTCGCAATGGATGAAAGCATTTTTGGAACAGAAAACTTTAACTAAAAATATTGTTCGTAGGATTTGAGGTTTATACACTATTACGATTATGAGTTTAAATTTTGAATGAAAATGTTTAGGTATTTATCAAGAGAGAAGTACGTATGGTGAATTAATAAATTTCTAAACAAATAATAATTAATAAATATTTAATAAAATATTACTTTACTCTACTCTACAGTGCTATAAGTAACATGAAGTAATATTTCTTAAAGTAAAGTAAGCAATCACGAAATGAAAGTTGCTCAGTTGGATTTTTAAATAACAAATGCTTTTTATACATAATAAAAAATATATTTATGCACTATTCCATGTAATTTCATTACATCTTTCTGTTGGCCAGAAAGATAGCTAAGCGATAAAAGTGCTTAGCTATCCGCGCAGCGCCCTAAGCTGGCTGACCTCATTGATGACGGGACATGGAAGTTATCAAAAAGATAACTCTTGCAGAGGAAGACACTTGCAGACTATGTCTAAAAGCTATATAGGAGGACAGCGGTGCAATTATTGTACCAGCACTGGCAAGCAGGAGGAAGACTGTCTTAAGACAACATTAGGTTGGTGATAACTTGGCTGGTAATCTCAAGCTAAATGAGCTGCTTGCATTAACAAGCGATGTGGTTTGCGAACGAAAGTCACTTTAGCTTTAACTCAATAACTCGTGGTCTACTTCGGCTAATCCTTCACTTCAGTGGGTCCACTTATTGAACGGTGCGCTGTTCCAACGTCCCACAATATGTATATACTTCGACCTAATAATCATATAAAGATGAATCTTTTATCAATACTACTACTAATCGATGCTAATTGTAAAGGTCCGAATACTAAGCATGTTATAAGTTTTAGATTGCACAGTAAAATACATGTTTAAAGATATACGAGTATCTAAGAGAACATAAGAAAAAGAATCGAAAAGGCTTGTAAAACTCAACAGGAGACAAAAATTGAATTAGACCTGAGTTAAACATTGTTGCGGTCTGGGAAATTTATATATAAACTCAGTCTTAACCAAAATTAATGTTTTAAGAACTAACTACGAGGTGACATATTTTAACAACTTGCTATGAGTATTGTATTATTTTCTACTTACAATAATATGTAAAGATATTAATTTCAAACTTGGAACAATAAAAGTTAAAAAGAAATGAGAATATATTCAGCATTTGCATTTACGATAATAAGCCGCAGTAACACTTTCTTCTTGCGTCTTTCGTGTACTTCAACTAGAATCATGCAACTAATTTCACAAATTAATTGCCCGGATTATTTGCATACATTTAAGTGTTAAGCCATAAGATGGTTCAATTAATATACCAGACATGCTCAAGTCCATATCCACGAACATTGGTGAAATTTAAATGCAACTGTCGCTGGAGTTGCAGAGCTTGAAGAAATATGAAGCTGCCGTATTCTCACAACGTGATCTGCATTTAAAAGGAAAAAGAAGTTTTGAGAAATGTCCGCTGTCGCATAAAATATCGAGTACAACCATGAAAACCACTTGCCTTAGTTTTGATGACGGAAATACTCCACCCAAAGTAATTACGCAAAACCAGTAGTGTCGTTCAAGTAATGATTGTGCCAATGAACATTTTGGCAGTGATAACTTCACATTTCTATTGAACGCAGTGGGAAGTGGAAATATGAAGTCATTAAAAAGTGCAAAGTGAAATTTATGATTTCTTAAAGAATTTTGGATAACTCTTCATTTTGTATGTAATTCAGAAAGGACTTGTAGTGCTTATATTATAAGAAAAAATTTCTTTTTGTTTTGTTGTTTTATTTTATTTAACCCAAACTGAATATAAGTCACAAAGTGTACCATATATGTCAGTATGCTCAAAATGAAGATAATTTCAAAAATACTAATAACAACATATATGATCAAAAGTATTCTTCTTTTTCATTACATAGCTACATACTCACTCTGTCATACATTAAAATAATACGCCAATTTAGAGACTTCAGCCTTTGTTATTAGTAAAAAATTAATCGTTACCAGCTTGATACTCTTCCATAGCTACACGATCAAACCTCTAGCAAGACTACAGAACGAAGGTTAATCGAACAGCAGAGGGAATGCAACTGGAATCTTAAAATGACCTAAAATGCTGGCTTTCAAAGTACATGAAATTCAAACTCAACCGAGTTTATGAATTCTTGGCATTGCACTTGGCTAAATATGTATCTCGTTAAAATAGTTGATTTAAGTTAAAATAAACTAAGAAAGCTTCATATATTTCCTTATAAAAATGAATATGTTTCTTTTTTTAGGAATTCTGCCAATGTCTTGATCATTGTCCAGATTTTGCTTAATTACGAGCCATAAGCGTGCGATTAGTTTGAACTGCTGAGCTGAGTTTCATTCTCAAAAAATGTAAGATGATTCACACGTGTAGCGTGATCGCGGGTTAACCTTAGGGATCAAATCACCTATAAAGCTCCCACCTGATTTTGTTTTTTGAGTCATTAAAGGTGTTAGGTCAGAAGCAGCTGTTAAGTTAAGCTCAGCATATGTAAGACAAATAATTTTTAACATGAATTTTATATTTTTACAAGTAGAACTCATTAATTAAGTAATAAATTATTAAATTTCATTCAGTAACTTCAGAGTTATAAATTGAAGTTATTATAAAATTGATTTAAAAATAACTCAACTTAACGTCATTTTCTAAATCCATCAAATCAATGTTAAAAATGTCTTCATTACAAACTGGACTCACGTTTTTCTATATACTTTTGTATTTCAATAAAATACAATTATAATTCAAATTACATCATTTGCAAAGCAAACGCATTCACTTCGTTCATGCATGCATGTAATACTCAACGTAGCTCAACATCAAAGCCAAAATTAAAAATATATACATTTATAACATAATTATCTAGCATGTTATCTATATATATGTTAGAATATAATATAATAGCATACCATAGACTATGACTGCATTTGAGCTCTCAAAGGAGCACAGCCCTGCGAGAATCTTAGATCTTTTGTGCTAAAAATTGACATAATCCGACCAGAAAATACTTTGTCCTTCAAATGAATTTCAAAAAATTCTTGTTGAGGAGTCTTCAACAGCAGACGATGATAAGTGATTCTAGCCCAGTATTATCAGATTTTACGACAAGTGCTGCGGAAACTCAAATTCGAATCCATGAAAATATTGAATTGATTTTAAACTAAAAAAATGTAGTAGTTGTTGTTGTGATTTGAGTTAGTGCTTGTGTCTTGGGGTCTTATCCCTGCCCCACACTAAACTTTAACTATGCTAGAATCATTATCATTAGTATTTTCTCTTATATTTCAAATGATCAATTTTTTAAAGTATTGTTTTTACTGTCATTTGGAAACATAAGTAATAAATTCTTATCAACTATTAATATTTTTATATATTTGTAAAAATAAAGATTAAAATTCATGTCGCCAATATTCTGAATAAATTTAAATTTTATTTGAGTATCAAATATTACGGATCGAAATCTATGATTTGCGAAAAATTTAATTTGAAATTGGCTAAATTCGAAAATGCTGACACAGGATTTTATATTCAAGACTGATTGCAAGAGTTTAAGAACTCAGATAACGAAATATGTGCGAAGAGCTCAGAAGATAGCTAGAAACAAATTGGATGAACGACGTGCAAAACTGAAGCATTTGTTGGACACTGAAGATCAATATTATGAACGTGAATTCGCGGCTAAAGTTAAGTCGCGTATCGAAGAGGATATAAAGAGTCGGAAAGAAGTGCTCTTCAAGCTTCGAGAACATAATGCCGAAATAGAAAAAAACTTTCTGGAGCAAAAACGTGCACAGTATTTGTTGAGCACCTGTCATGAGTTGCGTGAAGCCATACGAAATCGTGACGAAATGCATATGCGAGCTGTACAGTTGCAGCAAATTGCTGATAGGAAATTGGCACTAGAGAGGGAAAAAGAGAAAAAATCAATGTTTTTTGAAATGTACCGTCAGGGAACTAACGAGCTAGCTAATACTGAGATGGAGGAAAAAGAACATGAACAGTTATTAGAGCAGAACTTAAAACAAATATGGGATTTGCAAGTGGAAAAGAAAAATAAGAGAGAAGAGCTTGAAAAGAAAATAAAACTAAAAGAAAATGCTGAAATGAAAAGATATCTCCACATAAAGGGACTAGAAAATATAGAAAGAAAAGCAGAACCGTTTGAAGGTCCTCAATATCGGCAGGATCTACTAAAAATGATAGAAGAGCGAGCAGAACAAAAAAGAATCGAAAAGGAAAATAAATTGACAGAAGAACGCGAAGTGCAATTACAATTAAGGAACCTCGCTGAGCAGGAGAAACTGATGAGTAGTGTAAATAAGCGAAAAGTTGATATGGATCGCAAGGACTTTATTAAATACAGTAAACATGTGCGCCAATTTACGGAACTCATTACTCATAAGAAAGACGAAAACTTAGATGATCTTGGACGGCTTCACTACTGTACAAAACTTAACTTGGCTGCAGAGGAACAGAAAAAATCTCTAAGAGAGAAAGAACGTTTTGATGTATTGAATCAACAGATGAAAGAGAAACGCAAACGAAAAGCGGAAGAAGACATTGAAAGAAGAGAAATTGGAAAATATGTGAACACGTTTGTGCAGTCAGAGGAAAATGCATTGCGTAAGCGAAAAGAAAGTCGCCTTAAACATAAAAAACAATTGGAGTTGCAAATTGAAGAACATAGGAAAGCTGAGGAAATGAACAAACGAGTACCGCTACCTGAAATTTTTGCAGTCACGGAACCAGAGATTTGTCAAAGGGAAGCGCATAAGTACTTAAATACTTACAATAAGTATTTACCTGTGCATCCACATTGGAAATACTTAGAAGCTTGTGCAGATAATGGAGCAGGCGATGCTCATGACTTATAAGAGATTGAAAAATTAAGAAAACCAGAAATATCCAGAATTTCAAAAATTATTGTATATTTTGAAATTTCGCGAAAAAAAATATAAAAATTCAAAATTAAAAGAAAAAATTGAAATAACATTTAAAATGTTTTCACTTTTTAAAGTAGATGAATAAAGAAAGAAGGATGAACTGTTGAAAGCAAACACCACTCTGCTTCATCATAATTCATGCTTGTCGCTTTTTCGATAAATTTCAATTTCACAACTCTATCGTACATGGAACTGATCTTTATAAAACCCTTCCAGCATATACTTTATATTGTTTCCTACCTTTTTCAGAGACATACTGCAGTATCCGATCATTGAAATAGCTTCGAATAACGTGCAACAGAGACTCCGGTCCTTTCAGTTATTTAAGAAAAAGTAGCATTTTAAGGGTAATCGTATTTACCATTAACCTTGCCCGGCGTTCATTTGTTCCTTTGTTTATTATGCATTCCAAAAGTATGCCTATTGTGTCCACCACTTATAACAGTACCAATAACAGCAACATATATATACTATATATTATATATATCCATGGATAGTGTGGTTTTGTTCGTACCGCATCCTTCAACGCAACATTGGAGGTTTCATCTGGATTTGCAAAACAGTAATTTTTTATGTTACTGGTCAAATAAATCCTAATAGGCTTGTGAGCTGTAGGGATCTTGATCTTTCACTTTCTGCATAACTGTTTTGTAGACCATAAGACACCCATGTATCTTCGTCAGCATTATCTTGTATTTGCTTACAATATCGAAACTTGCTTCGTTAAAGTTCTTTTATATACATTCATTTAATCACATTTTTGCATATTTGAAGCTCATTGAAAGTTGCGTGTTGTCTCGCTCTTCGTGCTTTCACACGAGCTCGTCGTATATCGATTATCTCACTAGAAGCTTTCCATTGCCGAGTGTCGGCATTATGCTATTGAAAATTTTTTTACATACTGTACAAGTCGTATTGAAATAGTTGATATTCAGTTGTAGCGGTTTTTACGTACCGCTTCTTGATATAGGGACTATTTTGCATTTTTCAATATTTCTGTATTTCGCTGCTTGTTAACCTTTCTTAGCGCATCGTTTGTAGAGATTCGTCCGATGCGAATCATCAAATGTTCTATGGAACATATTTAGCACGTTTTTGGCAATATAACCTCTGTCAGTCGACATGGAATCATCGTAACTGAATGTATCGATTTTGTAAGTGTAAGTACTTTTTAGAAATCTTTCGGATTGACCATTACAACCTCAACGGTGTGTTTGATTTTTCATACATTTTTGGTCATCTCAAGTTTGTTTTAATATTAGTCCTAACCTCCTCTTTGAGTTAGTCTCATTATTTTGACTGTTTTGCTTAAGGCTCCCAACTCGACACTAGTCTTAATTTGTCGTAATATATCTTTATATATATGCCTCATCATATATCTTTATTAATATCGCATACGCTTTTGGTGTAATTGGTAAATGGTTTTTCTCTTCGACTGTTATTAAGTCTTTTTTGTCAGACGGTTCAGGTGACGGTCGCAGGAAACCAGTTTAACTAACCCTTTTTTGACATTGAAAGATTGTTAGATATACTGACCTGTTGCTGTGGGGCTTACGTTGACTCTCGTATTTTTTAAGTGATAGGATCTCACTATATAATCCTTCCTTTCTAAATAAGAATACATTTTAAAAACTTAAACAATGAGTTGATCAAATATTATCAGCATATTAAAGTCTTTAATCGATGTGTATTAAATAGTGATGACTATAATTGAAGTTAACAAAATCATAGTTCATTTAAATAAATTGCTGTTATTTTGAACAAAACAAGATGATATATTTAGTCATCTTCACACTGTACAGCATATTTTGTATTTCCTGCTTTTGTTGCAATTTAAAGATACATCCATGCCCTTTTGCTGTAAGAGAAATCAAGACCTATCATTGTCTGTCTATCATTTCGGTTTACTTTCAGTGTGCATAATAAGTATATACGAGTGCAAATATAATTATAGATACTATAACGTTTTTAATTATTTTATCTATAATACAGAATTGCCGTTATGAGCAAATATCAAAGTTCATCATTCTTTATTTAATAAAATAAACTTTGAATGAAATTCGCATTAAAAATTGAACGATGGCATCTGGGTAATGTGCCATTTGTTCATTTTACCGCATTGGCAGCAGTTGTAATTACTCGAAAGGGTGTAATTTGGCTCAAACGAGTAACTCAGGGTCCCCCTGTCTAGCTATCTGGAAGCACTAAGTGATAGCTTACGCTAAGTGGCTTGGTGAGTGTCTTGAGCGCATGTTGGAAACCAATTCATTTTGTGGCATTTAGAAGATTTTCACTTGATGATAAAAGTCAAATTACAACGGAACTCAGATTTAAACTCATGGGCGGGCAGAAGACGTCGCGACGTTAATGGTGGTGAAGGTTGCAGCAATGCAAGAGCGCGAAACACATAATTCTTGACAATGCCATCTCAGCCACGAATGTACTCTCAGCTGCTAAACTCACATGTCTTGGGTTCCATGTTCTTGAATTGCATTTCATGCGAATAATTGTCAATTGTCAAGAAATTTTTAGATTAGCGGTCGTTGCCATTGTTATGAGCTGCTGACAGCGGCTCTTACTGCGGTTTCGGTGCTGGTGCCATTATTCTAATCTAATGGGAATTCAGTGTCGATTAGAATAATTTCAACGGTGGCATCTTATGTAAGTCTGGCGTAAGTGTAACAGAAGTAGTGTTTTTGTCTTAATTTCCGTGACGTGCTAAAGTGCAATATATGTATGATTTATTTAGATTTAAATTTTTTTTTCGCAAAACTAGTTTATTTAATCCAATCTCTAAGAGAAATTCAAAACGTGTAATTTCGGTAGATTCTTAAGAATTTAATATATATTCGGAAAATATTTTAGATAATTCAGTATTTGTGTTACCGATTACTTATTGTTCTTAAAGACTGACAAGATTTTTGTTCATATTTTTCTAAAATTAGAACTCTTAACTGTTAATCGTATAGAATAATAATAGACATTAATATTTGTATGAAGTATTCGATGATCAGTTCTGCTTCGACGACAATTGTATAATTCAACGCTATTAAAATATTTCTGAATAAAAGATAAATATTAAGTTTTTCTATATTTGAAAATCAAAGGAATTAGCCACGGTTAAAAATGCACTTATCAGGGTGATATCCCTTCAAATGCAGAAATCTCGGAAAACCTCAATTCGAAATTTGATTCATTCATATATTTATAAATAATGTTGGAGTTATCGATATGATAATAATATGCAGATATCCATAAATTAATCATATCGCGTCAAAGTAATGTTAAATAAAATAGATTCGTCCCTATTCCTGGTATCTTATATGGTTATCTATTGCAACTTAGTTTGAAGTACTTAATGGAAGCACTTTTTCTTCCAGTCCTTTGCTCTTGACAGATCGTAGTGGTAAGACTAAAATGTCTTATATCTGTAGGGCATAAGGTAAAAACTAAAAGTGTTCTGATTGAATTGATTCGTTTGTCTGAAGTTTTTAATACAAAGTAACTGAAATTGGCTTAATCTAAGTAATTTGTACTTAACAAAAGACAAAGAACTGTGATATGCAGTTTAGTCCTGTATGCATAATCTCATATGGTGTTAATTTTGATAAACTGTATTCTCAGATGTAGAATGAAATAGAAAAAATTGAGCGTGTTCAAATACATTAAAGAAGAAGAATCATTTAAACTTCATAATTGATCACTTCAATGAACTGGATTAGTAGTACTGAGCACGATCAGCTTCAGTTGTCAGTCGTCAGTTGTCAGTTGTCAGTTTTCTACTTGTGAAAAGTCATGCTTGAACTAATCACAAAACTGCATTATAGGATGAGTTTAAAATTAAAAGTTCATTAGAATAACCTTTTATTATTGAAAAATATAAAATATTCCATAAAATTATTATGTGCAAAGGTGTTCTGCAATCTGCAAGAGGTGCTGCTGAGGTGCTGCTGACTGTTTTGCTAATTATCGTTAGAAGTGAATTAAACTTTTAATTGCAAAAGCACTCTATATTTAATAGTTTTACCTATTAAGACTATTTAAACGATGTTCGTTGTTTCAATGCATCCACATTTGCTTGCCAATCCAGTTGCCATAGTCAAAAACAGTCTACTTGCGAATATATATTCAATCGAATGGAACAGCATTATTTAATTATAATAGGATTTAAGAGGAATATTAAGTACAAGTACTAATTTTGTGGATTAGTTTTAGGGTATTGCACCACATAAATCAAGGTGCCTCAATGCGAGTATGAGTGTGAGTATGGTCAAACGGACCAGACGACTGTGCTATTCGTAACACGGATATATGTGGCTTTTAGCACTTATTATAATAAAATATTTTAAAAGTTTTGTGGCTGTATTTGCTAATTAAAATACTGTTCATCTAAATTACAAAATTTGCTATGCTATAAACTGCAATCGTATATCGTATATCTGCTACTTGACTTTTGCGTTCCAGTATCTAAATGTTTAAAATTAAAATTAGCAGTTAGAATGTTTATGAATTTCAAATTGTGTTCCCCAGTGGTTTTTCACAGTTTTGCAGAACTGTTGATCTTCATTTGCGTTCAAATCATAAAAATACAACTGTAAATTTAATTTCTCTGCAATTGTTAATTACCAAGAGTTGATAGTTGATTTTAACGCTGCTAAGCCATCTTAATATAATTGGTTTGCTTTTCCAGCAGCTTTTCCAATTTTTTTCATCTTCCTCATATTTATATAATGTATATTGTTCGAGCGGTGGTAATATGGTGGATATTATTCACTGTGGCAGAGTTGAAGTTTATTTTATATTTTCGGTCGTCAACGTAGTGATTGCCGAGGTAATAATAGAAGTTGGCATTGGCATTGCATGTTTTGACCACATTCCATGCGAGATTACAAATGTCTATTAATCATTTCCTGCAATTTAATCAATTAGAAACGTGCATCATCAATACACTTCACGTTAGGCATGCAATCCGTAGCACACAATGT